ACAACGACCTCAACTGGACCCCACGCCCTTCAAGCTCGGAAGGTAGAGGCGAATTTGATCGAATAAAATACAGTATGAATAGGGAAAGCAGTATTAACTCAGTCGTTCATGTATGTATGTGAACGCTTAACGCGAGCCCTCTTGCCACCAAAGTGGCTCCACTTCCGCATACGTCAGGTTATCTTTCCTTCTCTACATTTCTCTCTACACTCGCGAGTCCATTAAGCGGCGCGCGCTATAAGCGCCGCGCTGAAGGCCGTCCAGACCGCACGACTCTGTGTACATTGGCGAAGGAGGTACAGGCCTGGGGCCAGTCGACGGCGGTGTCCAGCGTGGCTTTTTGGTTGATTCCTTGGATGTCTATCTTGTCAACAGGTCTAGGGAGGGTCCGTGAACAAAGAATGACGCAAGCGTACCTAAGCGGAGATGCCGGGACTTCGGGGCTTCCGGCGTGGCGGCGTACATCGTGGCGGCTTGGCTGGCGGCTGGGGGGAGAGCGACAAGAGAGAGGTGTGTAAAGGAACAGGAAACTCGTAAAACTGACGGATACCGCGAAGCGCCCGTCGGAGGTCTGAGCTAGCATCAGCTAGCCCAAGCCTTCCGGGATGACTCCGTCTAATTGCTCTATTTGAGGGTTTGAATGTGTTTGCAGCCCCCTAATAACGTCACATATACGCCATGTGAAGACGGCGAGTTACTGTTTTGTATAAAAGAAAAGGAACTAGAACTTTCTGAAATACTGAACACCCCTTTGGGTCAAATTCCTCTTCAACTGCACTAGTTGGCTGTAGATGGTGTGCAGCCACTCATTCCTGCCACCTCATATCGACGCCACTGGCTTTTAATCTTTGTCGCCATGCTACTCTTGACCTCAACTTCACGACCAGCCTCCTGAGCAGCAGCTTTAGTAGCAGCAGCCTTTTCAGCAGCGGCAACCTCAGTAGCAGCTTTAGTACGTACCCCCCCCCCCCCCCCCCCCCCCCCCCAGTGTAGACACTCCCGGGCGGCGCCCCGCCCCGGGTTTGGGGGGGGTGGGGGGGGGGGGGGGGGGGGGGGGGGGGGGGGGGGGGGGGGGGGGGGGGGGGGGGGGGGGGGCCGCCCACATCGAGCAGTCCCCCTCCCCCCCCCCCCCCCCCCCCCCCCCCCCCCCCCCCCCCCCCCCCCCCCCCCCCCCCCCCCCCCAACCACGCCACTGGCTTTGTCGCGATCCTGACCTTGACCTCTGCTACACGAACAGCCTCCTCAGCAGCAGCCTCATCAACAGCTTTAGCACGCAGTGTAGACACCCCACACGAATAGTCTAACCACTTCACTGGCTTTTAATCTTTGTCGCCGAGCTACTCTTGACCTCAGCCTTATGAGCAGCCTTCTTGGCAGCAGCCTTTCCAGTAGCATCCTTAGTACGAAGTGCAGACGTCGGATAGATATCATGTAAAAACGAATGATCTAGAAACCACGAAATGTGATAAAAAAGCCATGTGTTTACTGCCAAGGATCGCTGTATCCACGGCCTTTTTTGCAGATGATTGATTCCACTGTCGCCATCGACGTATTATTCGTGGCTCAAGATGATTGGCAAGATACACATCAAAATCAATCTTTTTGATTACGCTAGTCATACATAGAGATAGGCAGACAATTCCATTAAACGTAGTGAAGGTTTGCAAGATGTCTAGAAGAGATATTATTATGATCATTAACGGTAGTATCTTCTTAGTATGTAAGAAATGATGCAATAAAAGAAAATTTTAGGTGGCTACATGTGAAAGCAAGAAAACATGTGATTGCATGAGAAGCAGCTGTAATGCTCCTGAGAGCAGCTTTAGTAGCAGCAGCCTTTTCAGCAGCGGCAACCTCAGTAGCAGCTTTAGTACGTAGTGTAGACACTCCATATCGAGCAGTCAAACCACCCCACTGGCTTTGAATCTTTGTTGCCACCCCTGATCTTGCTTGTCCTCTGCTTCACGAGCAGCTTCCTTAGCAGCAGCAGCGGCAATCTCAGTAGCAGTATCAGTATGCAGTGTAGACACCCCACATCGAGCAGTCCAACCACGCCACTGGCTTTGTCGCGATCCTGACCTTGACCTCTGCTACACGAACAGCCTCTTCAGCAGCAGCCTCATCAACAGCTTTAGCACGCAGTGTAGACACCCCACATCGAATAGTCTAACCACTTCACTGGATTTTTAATCTTTGTCGCCGAGCTACTCTTGACCTCAGCCTTATGAGCAGCCTTCTTGGCAGCAGCCTTTCAGTAGCATCCTTAGTACGAAGTGCAGACGTCGGATAGAAATCATGTAAAAACGAATGATCTAGAAACCACGAAATGTGATAAAAAAGCCATGTGTTTACTGCCAAGGATCGCTGTATCCACGGCTTTTTTGCCAGATGATTGATTCCACTGTCGCCATCGACGTTTATTCGTGGCTCAAGATGATTGGCAAGATAACATGCAAAAATCAATCTTTTTGATTACGCTAGTCATACATAGAGATAGGCAGACAATTCCATTAAACGTAGTGAAGGTTTGCAAGATGTCTAGAAGAGATATTATTATGATCATTAACGGTAGTATCTTCTTAGTATGTAGAAATGATGCAATAAAGAAAATTTTAGGTGGCTACATGTGAAAGCAAGAAAACATGTGATTGCATGAGAAGCAGCTGTAATCAAAGTAAATGGGGGGGGGGGGGGGGGGGGGGGGGGGGGGAATCTTTGTTGCCACCCCTGATCTTACTTCACCTCAGCTTTACAAGCAGCCTCCTCAGCAGCGCCATCCTAATTTGATTTTTGCTTTACGAGCAACCTCCTCTGCAGCAGCCTTCTCAGCAGCTGCAGCCTTCTCAGCAGCTGCAGCCTCATAGCATCGGACATCGGAGGATTCAAGGCTCCATCAAACTTGCAATGTCCGCAAACAGCGCTTCAAGTCGCATGTAGGAAGAACAATCTGTGTCTGGTAATTTCAGACTGCATTCCTTGGTAATGCGTTTGGCTTGGATCAGTTCAATTTGATTGTCTTGGTCCTTGACAGACTTTACAAGGCCGCAGAAGGCACCAAATTCTACAATACGAGCGCAGCTTGTTGGATGCGACGCCATTTTGCCGGACAGGGGAAGACAGCCAGCGAATATGCTTGCCACGGTTACTATCTATGTTACGTATCTGTAGTTTTCGTCAGAATTGCTGAAGGCAACATTATGCTGTTTTGTCGGTGTACTCGCGGCGCCCGCGCACAAGCAACGCACAAGCACGTTGGACTTGTGCGAGTACGTAGATTATGGACATTGCGGTTTCCTGCGTGACGTGGACGGTGAGCAGGTGCTGGACAATGCACATACCCGGAGAGTCTCACATTGCATTGGCATACGCCAAGGCTGTCGCTCACATGGTGTGTCCATCGACATCATGGACAACTGCTTTGGCGCGATTCGCCACATTTACAACAGGAACGGCTTTGAGCACGTATCTATAATGACTTATACATCCAAGAAAGCCTCAGCATGTACGTGCCGTTTCGCGATGCTGTCGAATCGACGTTCCAAGGCGATCGCAAGCGCTATTAGCACCCGGTAGACAGCACGAGCCACGCTGCGTCGGCGTTTGATCGTGACGCAATCAAGGTGGAGATAGTGTGATTGTCAAGCCTTCTCTCTTATACTCGGACATTGTGGCTAGATTTGCCGCCACAAAGATGGTTTCCGTGGTCTATTACCTCATGTCCGAGTACCGATGGTGAAAGACTATCGCGACTCGATTAATTTGCTCGAAAGCGTCGTGCGTAAAGCTTATTTGTGTCATTTGCGTGCTGGTGTTAGTGTACTCATTACATACTTTACCCCATATGTTTTCGACCACTATGGCTCGCTGTTACTTGAAAAAGTAGGAGGCAACTAACTACCTTGTTAGTACATGCTGTAGTTGCTATCAATCTCGTCATTAGCAAGTCCAGGTAATGTCTGCTGTAGATATAGTGGTAAGAATACATTTTGATTGGTGTGGGCACGTGTCAAACTGGAATTCAAGTCCTGCAATATTATATTACCGCACTTTCCAGTGTGTACAAGGTCTTCTAGATGAACACGTAGGTGGTGTTAGTCGAAGCCTCCTGGGTTTATTTTTCAGTAGTTCGTAAACCATAGAATCAAGCTGCTTGAGCAACAAACGGTGTCGGTGGCATGGCAAATATCCCGTTCGGAAATAGACTACAAGTCTGTTGCATTGTTTGTCAATCTGAAAGCCAAAGAAACGTCGGGTAGAGCAAGAAAAATGTTGGACGGAACTAGAAAGCTTTGCACCGATACTTCATGAAACTTCATTCGATGACCAGCCGCAACAAACAAGCTGGTCACTGGCTATGATATCTTTTCAACTATTAGACTAGACTACCCAGAAACAATGCATAAATCTTGAACCAACCGGCCACCTTCACTAATACGATCACATACTTTACCTCCTATCTTGAAACCACACGTCACTAGTACTAAAGTGCCAACACAACCTAATGTGGTCTGCATTCCAGCAAATTACCCATTCCAAAGCGCATTTGCTTCTGCATTTAGATTGTTTACAAGATATAACAATGACAAATTGTAAATCGTTGCCATAAGCTGAGCCTGCTTGTATACAAAGTATTTCCAAAATGTCATTTACACTACCAACTATGTTATGGAAAGCATACTAGAGCGTATCAAATAATACAGAAATTTTATTGGTCTGAAACACAGAGTGACATAAACCGAGCACATTATTTTCGTACTTATTGCCGTACTTTTTTCCGCATCAGAGGCTTACACTTTGATTGGTAGAAATAGTATTTCTTGAATCTGATAAAAGGTCCGACACAAATGTTATATTAAAATATAAAAAGCATTCCGTTTGCAAGGTGTTTCAACTTTTCATAAGTACTGTACCTTTGATCCCCCTTCAGTTTTGGTATCCAGCAGTATCTCTCCGTCGTGCATCTTCCATTCTCCACATATTTTTTCATTCAATTATCAGTTATGCCATTGGCTAAGAACAACAAAGTTGCTGGATCTTTAGTGCTCTCAATTGTATCGTGTCTTGTCTACAGTGTCATGTCAAACGTTATGGTGCTTACAAACCGGTACTTGCTGGGTAAACGGTATTACGGCTTTGATGAAAAATTCTTTGTCGTTGCAATCCAAGCAGCTGTTGCGGTTCTGGTATTGGAACTGGCGAAAATGCAAAAAGTTGTGTCGTATGATGCATACAACTGCAAAATTGCACGTAAATGGGCACCTGTGACCTTTTTTTTCGTAGCCATGTTGTATACGGGGATGCAAGCAACAGCGGGACTTCCTATTCACATTGTGACAGTATTTAAGAATGTTACAAACATTATTATTGTCTTTGGTGAATGGCGTTTCTTTGGTGAACGTGTGGGTGGTCTTGTTCTCATAAGCCTTAGTATTATGCTCCTGGGTGCTGTCATGTCCTCATATAGTGACGTCGGTGATCAAGCTACACCCTCTACGCTCTCGGGTTACTTTTGGATGTCTCTCAATTGTGCAGCTACTGCTGGCTACGTATTATACATGCGTTATGCTACGTCACGCTCGTCACTGAAGATTTCCAAGTTTGGAATGGCTTTTTACAACAATCTCATCTCGTTACCACTTTTGGCACCACCACTTGTACTCAACGGTGAAGTTTTTACAGTCTGGAGCAATCCGCTGCTCATGAATGGAAATTTTACCATCCTGCTCTTTATTAGTGGCATAGTTGGGATCGGACTCAACCTTGCATCTTTTTGGTGTGTGTCCGCCACATCCGCTACCACGTACGCGACTGTGGGTGGACTGAACAAGATTCCTACCACATTCATCGGTGTGTTACTGCTCGGTGAACCGCTCAAGCCCGACACAGCCATTTACGTCACTTTTGGCATGGTCGGTGGCATTTTGTACGGCTACGCCAAGTTTAAAGAGGGAGAGGCTGCCAAGAAGTACAAGACAACGCAAGATGTGCTACCTCAAACCATGCACGATACCAAGGCATAGATGTACCAGTAGTTTGTACAGGTATCTGGACAATCGGTGACTTGTCCTTTCTTTCTTGCCATTGAAAATGCATTTACGTACTAAATATAACGACAGAATGCTGTAAAAAGGCATTTTAGCAGACCATTCGCTAGAACGCCATAAGTGCTGAAGACATTTTGTTTTTCATCAAGGTTTTGTAACAGCCTAAATGCATTGCATAGTTTCGCCAAGACGCTACATTGATGTGTTACAGTCAAAAAGTATTTTATACTGCTAAAAGCCGAAAAAAATATGAGCGCTCTTTTCTGCTGGTTAAACCAAATGTCAGTTTTATCGAAAATCGTCAAAGTAGGCGTAATTTATTCGTCAATTATCAATGCAATGAACTTGACAAAACAAGTGTCGCTTACGATTGATATGCATCACTTGAACAAAAAGAATAAATAATTCATCACTCTCATTATTATGTCAACTTGGAGGTAGAATTTTGTGCACCCGTACGATCCATTTCAATTTGTTGCTTAAAACGATCTTGGGGCTCAGCTTCAGGACTTGCTGAACTGCTCAAAAGAACACTGGAAGCATCTAAACGCGAGCCAGCCATATCTAAAAAAGCATCTTCCAGCGCTGACTGGGTAATTGAGCCCGAGAATGGGTTGTCGCCGTGGAGTGAAGACATAGCAGACATGCGCATTAAGCGCGCGTTCATTTGACGCTGCAGATCTCCAGCGGCTGCATCGTCCGCTTTGTAGGCATCATTCAAAAATGGCGCTGCCGCAGCTCTAGCTTCGTATCCTCCGATTCCATGAAAGCTACTACTTGGCACGGATTCGCGAGTAGAAATGTCCTCCTCTTTCAAGAATGGATACTCTACAAAGGTCAAATAGTAAACAATCAGAGAAAGTTCATTCAATTCCTCACACATCATGTTAAGCTTTCACACCTATATTCGAGATCTTTCGGCTTAGACGAGGAGAACCAATAAGAGGTGAACCCAAGTGGCGTGGCACGGCTCCCAATTTCAGTCCCTTGAAGGCATGTGCGAGAACTGATGCAGTATAATTCGCGTTAGCTTCCATTTCGTCACCTTGGCCCTGAATATAACAAACATGTTAGTGTTGATAACCAAAAATACGCGTAAACCTTCTTTATGCTCCTCGCCATCTGCATTGTCTGTTTACCTCCGAGTAGGAAGGTGATATAGATCCTTGGGGTGATATTCTCCGCGATGACACCAAGAATATTTCCCTTGATTCATCATTCTTCACATCATAGCCACTTCGAGTGCGTTGTTTCTGGTGCAAACTCGGTGGAGAATTAAGCATTGGTGCTGTGTAATTAGGGTCACTCACCAAACTCTCCCATCTGAATGGACTTCCTCCTGTAACATCAGTACCTGGCTGCTTCGCAGCAGGTCGAGTGACAGCAAATGGTGGTGGAGAATCAGGGGAAGTTGATCTGCTTCTCACAAACGCTTCGAATGTGTCTACTGACTGCAATTTGGGTGAAGTCACAGGCGTCACAAAGTTGCTGAGAGACTGTTCGTCGGTATATTCATCCCCACTTTCCAACAAAAACTCTTCAAGCTCTTCTTCTAGCTCCTTAATTTCCTCTACTCCCTCCTGTTCTCCTTCTAATGCTTCGTATTGCTCACGAACATCATGTAAAAACGCATAGCGCTTTACACAGTCCACGGGAGAACGTCGCACCACGCGTGAGACTTCTAGCCCTGTCAATGTGAATGCATGACAGATTTTACCAATTTACGTGCATTAGAACTGTACTATGCTCATCATTTCCATCCATTTACAATCCAAACAGGTGACAATAGTTAGAAGAGCGTTAAATTTTATAGTTTACGCACAATTAACACCAACAGGAAATCTTTCACCGCTAGCTGTAGACTGCGTTACTAGTAGCGTTAGCTTCTCGTCTATAATGCTTGACCACTTTGCAGGAAGAGGGTGAGGTGCATAGCGAATACTAGACCACCGTGGCTCTCCTTGGAGTTCTTCGGGTTCCGTCGTCGACATTAATTTATGTAAAAGAGAAGACGTAAAACTTAAGCGTTACTTCAGCCAAGGTCCATCGACATGGCTACATTTATATTATTAGGGCAAGTGAAAGTTCCAAATGCGCACGAGACCATCGTCACCAGCGGAAGCAAGCAATAATGTCTTTATACCACCATTATCCAGTACTTGTGGGCTCCATCGTACGCAGTTTACATCGCTATCATGTGCTTGTTTCTGATTAACTACCAGGTCGAAGGACGAAGATGCGTTTGTCGAATAATTCCGATAAAATACTCGAATAGCATTGTCACCAGCACCTGTAGCAAGAAAATCACCATGCGTGGACCAATCGACACTGAAGATTGTGCGTTCATGATGATCAGAAAGCGTCAGCGTTTTTTTCCATTGCTTGATGCTATAAGTTAACATAAACGTTGTAGTTATAGTATTCATTGTAGCAATAAAAACATGATAATGTAAACGCACCTCCCATCTTCGTTCACCTCTTTACTCTGAGGATCGTACTGCCAAATGATCAGGTTTTTATCATCAGATACTGAGACCATCTCAGTGCCTTGTGAATTAAGTGCAACTCCCCACACTGTCGCCGTGTGGCCCATCAGCGTCTCCTTGCAGTACCAATCATCATCGTTTTCAGCCCAAATAAGAATAGTGTCATCGTAGCTAGCCGATATTAGGAGATCTTCGGTCGGATGCCAAACCACACACTTGACGTCCTGTGTGTGGCCATGAAGTACTGAGATACACTCAAAGTCCGTGTCAGCATCAGCTTCCCAGATCCAGATACTCTTGTCACGACTGCAAGTTGCCAAATAAGCACCTGATGGACTCCAAGCCACACTCTTCACCTCACTCTCGTGCCCCTCTAGACTCGAAATCACCTCATACGAGCTACCCTGCTTTCCCCAAATAACTGTCGTAGCGTCAAAACTCACGGACGCTAAGTAACGACCATCTGGAGACCTACATATTAGTTGCATTATGTTTTTGATAACGTTACCAAATACATCATACTAAAACACTCAACACCTAATAGTACATACCACTCGCATGCTCGAATGGTACGGCCTTGTGCATCCTCCAGAATGCCCACACACTCCCAAATTCCACTTCCATTGGCTGACCATAAACGAATCGTACGATCGCCACTACAAGATGCAAGTAACTTGCTGTCGAAACGCCACGAAACGTGCCACACGCGCTCGCTGTGACCTTCCAACGCACACACTTGCTCCATTGCTTTTGATGGCGATAATAAGATGTGGTACACTGTACCAACCGTTCGAAAGCGGTACATCGTACCACCTAAGCATGGAACCGTGTATCGCTAGGTGTTTTTTTTTTGGTTAGGCACGCCTGCCTTTATTAAGCTAGTTAAATCTCACTACATCACACTCTTAAGTGCTTTTCAAGATATGATAATGTCTTATTTATCATGTTGACCCTTGCACTGCTCATTTCTGCTAGTGAGAAATTCTGAGCATTGGTCGCGTAGTTGGCACAGCAAAAAAGTCATACGCTAGGGCAAGAAGCTACGAAGCCTGTAGTGTATCGTAACTTATCCTAGTGGCAGATGGAAACCTAGCGACATCAGTTTGCACACAATATCTTCATCGTTAAATAGCTCTCGTGCCAAGAAGCTAAAAGCGGCCTTCTTCAGAATGACAGAGAAAACCACGCACCCCGATAATTATTATTGCAACGTGAGCGATGCTGGTCAAGATAACTACGAATACAAGCTACCCTGTATTTGTAATTCAATCGACGGATCAATGGTTCAGATTTTGGTGCACCGTGCCGAATGCACCGCACTCATCTAACTTGAAGCACAAGTCTACAAATGTTTGTTGCGGAGAAGCTCGTTCGCGGCCTCCTCCTCCGGGGTCACATCGCTGCGGTGAATAAGGTAGCGGTAATGTTGCGTCGATCGTATCTCCAGCTCAAACGACATGAGAAATGTCTTGTCCACAGGGTCAATCAAATGCAAAATGCGATATTGTTGATCACGATTAGCCTCGAACCAGGTATCACAACGATCGAAAAACAGCACATTGTTCCAGGTAATGGAATCGCTGTACGCCTTGTCATAAAACTCCTTGAAACGACCGATATGAACACACACGTGGTGGCCATCATACTCTCCCCTATTGTCACGCTGGGACTCTTGCTCGTCAAACACAATCGTCTGTAGTGGACCGCAAAATACCGACGTGCGATAAAGATCTTCATGGTCATTTTTCTTGGATACTACTGTTTTAGCACCCAAGTAGTGCTCAAAGAAACGTGAGATACCCAGCGCAATGCCTGGACGACACGGGTAAAGTAAAAACGGAAAGCCTTGAGCCACACCTTGAGTACCATTTGTCATAGGCAGTGTTTTACCCAGTGAGTTGTTAATCGAGTTGTAGTTGCGAGGTGTCACATAAAGACGCAGTTCATTTCCATACGGGTCATTTACTTTGAGATGATTATATGTCATTGTATCAAATACTTCATGCCACTTTTCCTCTGGATACTCGCACGTAGTTTCTTTGTCGCAATTCACACGTTCAAACGCAAACTTTGTGTCTATAAGTTTATCTGCAACAGATGCCAAACTCATTTCAATAGCGTCTAAATCAGGTACGTATAGGTAAATCGTCGCATTGATACATTCATTCTTTGATTGGTTTGTAAAGAGATGAAACTGATGGCGACCAGCAAAATTTGCCCAAAAGTGGTAGGCGAGACGTGGATCACGTGAACATTGTAGACCACGTATATAAAAAATATACACGGGAGCTTCCTCTGTGCATTTCTCTATATTTGACAAATTAATGTGCTCTAGAAATTTGAGATTTCCTGAATTTTCAAAAGCTTGAATCACTTGTTCCTTATTCCAAGTCACTCCTTCTTGATTCATTTCTCTATTCTTCTTGTTATTTTCTGACCGATAAAGGGAAGGGATCAATTACCACTAAATCATTATAACCAATGGTGAGACGAGATTATGAAAGCGTTTGCAGGGACAGAAACATGAATGCGTATTCTTCAACTCGATATATATCATATTCATTTTGACAGGGAAAAATAGAACCTACAGCCTATTTATTCGAGCAAACAACTCTCAAAACATATGAACATAATATTCATACGAAACCGTTGTCAACAAGAAGAAGACTGGGTTCAATATATATGGATATGTATGAAACTCGCATTCGATCGAAACAACAGGGGGAACTGTTCTCAATTAGTCGAAAACATGCCTGAACAACAATCGCTGAAGGATTTCAAGTTCCTTATGTTGGAATTTGGCATTGGTGAGTTTAGTGTGAGACTGAATTGAAATTCCAGTTTAGCAAAAATACAGTGGTTTCTTATATGTTTTTTCGGTTAAGAAACTTTTAAGTCAAGGTTTTTTAATCTACATAATAAATCCTTTTTCTTTCTAACGAAGACACGTGGAACAACGCTTCGGGCTTGAGCGACTTCTTCGCGGCTGACACTAACAAGCCGCTGGTTGTAATCACACGCACTACCTTTTTGATATTTGCACTAACCGGCATTTATTGAGTCTATAACGCATTAGAACACTAACCGGTTCCTAGTGTGGGCAGATACAAGGCTACGTGCGGTGTGGTTTTCCTACACCTTATGATTGCATCTTTCCATCGCGTTGACGAAATCGGGCACCACCTAAGTACGCTTGTGACGTACTTTTTATTGATGTTGCTAAACGGGTTGCAGCTTCGCTCTTCTTAGCGACCTTGTTGTCATGATGCCGCATAAGATGTCGCTCGTCTTGTTCGAGACAAAAACACAGAATCGGACGCCAAGGTTTACTCGCCTTTGAATCTGCCACAGACGACGCGGTAACATGAAGAGTGACGACAGTCACAAGGTAAATTCACATTAGAAAGACGCATGACGGATGGCGGATGGACAGCGGAGGTTAGGAGATGAATAGCATACAAGTTGAATAGAGAGAGACTTAGCTGAAAGACGGGGGCTCAGTGCGCTGAAGAGAAGCGAAAAAGGATTCGTTGGAGATGGTAAAAACAACAATAATGTTTTGCGTGTCAGTTGCGCTTCAGTGATAGATCTTCTCCTCCTGTGTTACTAACATACTGAAGTGGCATAGAATAGCCGGAGTTAACTATTTTACGTCGTTCTTTAACAAGTAGCCAGATGATAATGCTTTTGGACCTCTTGGATTTGCCGAAGGCGACTAACGAAATGTCTGGAGCTGGCGCAGTGCAAATGCGCTGTCAACAGACAATGAGCAAAGGGTGGTCAAAAGTCATTGGTGGTGGTGAACAGCAATGACTAGATGCAGCTGAAGACCGATGGGTCTGCTGCATGTAGAGACAAATGGCAAGAGGTTGGCGCGGAACAGGTTTGTCATATGCTGCGATTCAATTGTGGATTTGGTAGTATCCAAGTGGCTTTCGTGGCGTAGCTAGTAGTGTTTGTGAGAAATAGTAAGAGCTGGTTTGCCCAACCAGTTGTCACAAGCAATTGAAATACAAGTACGTCGTGAGCTCAAATGGGAAATGACATTTCGAGTTTTTATTTTGTTGTCACATCAAGGAGAGACAAAGCGCTACATGCAGCCCCTATTCACTGTGCTGCTATCTTGATAATTTACTTGCTACAGCTAGGACGTATTAGAGAAGTTGCGCGAGTTGACCACCATTAGCTTCAGATAACCGTGACATCATGCAGGCAAGCTACCTGGCCAATTTCTTTGGCTAACGTTTGCTGCGTATATTTCCACGTGATTTACCATTGCTACGAACTTTTTTACACATACAAAGTAATTTTCGACTGTATTCGGGATGACAGCCTGCTTTTCATACATTGGACATATGGTGAACAGCCACCTTAGTGTTGCATTAAGTATGACCGCATGAAATTGACGAATATCTTGATTAACGTGTGTATCCAGAGTAAGTACGATTCGTCAACAAGGTCTGAATTGTTAATAAACTAACTTCCGTGATTGCGAAACCATGAACTCGCTGTTGCTCCTGTACCTAAATCTAGTTCGAGGTCCTCAGATCGTGGCCGCTCGTCGGAAGAAGGAGGAAATGGAAAAACGTGCACGGCTGGAAGCGGAGATAGCGAGCGGCAAAGTGCCCAATATAGCAAGCTGTAAGAAATGCGATGCACCCGTGGACCGCCTGTCGGTTGCCGTCGGAGTAGTTACGCCCACATGTGCCACGTGTCTAGACAAGGAGGCGGAGAAGCTGCGCGTGGCAAAGATGGAAATGCGAAGGGAAATCAAGATGTCGCCTTTTCTGTGGTTCCAAGTGTTTATCATGCTGCTTGGCCTCACTGTCTTCTTTCACCGGAATATCATGCCGCTGTTTTAATTACTAAGAAACAAAGTGTAAGAACGGGGGGAGGGGTGTTTATCTAAACTCGCAATGCTTCCATTCTCTCTTTATTTCAACGTTTCTTAGTGTTTCTGTGCAAACATTCGAACGAAACTCCTTCCACTCTCAATCCTTTTCTTTCGACATTGTGTGTGTCTACCGGCAGCACTTTGTGTTGTTGAAATTCAGTTTTGGTATTCAAAATCCCAGATTATTATCCGCGACACGAAAACCAAAGCCGGAATCTGCTCTTTGAATGCAAATTCTATTGGATAATGTATTTACTACTTATAAATTTGCCATGAGCGACAATAGAAAGGATAAAACTACTAGTGGACTGGCCGACGTCGGTTTGAGCGGCAAACGGCAGCGTAATGTAGACGAAGAAGGTACATTGTGTCTACATCATAGTAACTACGTATGGTGTCGAGTATACTAACTGCAACATCATAGACTTGGGTTCGCAACAGAGTATTCTGAAGTGGATGCGACACGTACCAGGGCCACTGCAGGATGTCATGAAGAAGCGAGCAGATCAGTGCGTATGTAGCATAGATCAGCCCATGAAAAAGTACACTGATTATAGGTTACAGGTTGGATACTTCACAGGCAGATTACAGCCGCATTGCCAGTGCTAACTCGGATCGATATTCAGTGGCGATATCGACGGTGTTTGACCACGGCCCGTGGGTGGATATGTGCCAGTATTTAGGCATGTCAGCTGTGTCTGGAACACTTTATGGTAAGCTTGACGGCTTTTGAAACTGTGACGACAAGTATAATTGACGTAAGTAATGTCGTGTTTGTACAGGCAGCATCAAAATGCGCAGTCTGAAGCACACAGTTCAGAGCATTGTAGAAGACGACGAAGCTGTTGCAATGGTGCCCCAGGTAATATATGAGTCTGTGCTACGTAGCTACGCGTGTGCTGCTACATTTACCGCTAAGTATGATATTTGCTTTTCTGTTTCTGGAGAAAGCTTTTAGTGCTTATTAAATCAGTGCAGTACGTTGACGAGGAAATTGTCGCTGTGTTTCATGTAAGAATGCTATTAGTTTTCTGATGCAAAGTACGAGACTCGGAATCATTGTCAACCTCTTCGCTTTTCTGTGCATTCTTGCAGGATCCAACGGGAGAAGTAGAGGGCTACTTTCACCGCGAACTTGTTGAGCATATTGGACCAGCTCTAGTTGCTGGTGTGGGCGTTCTGCTTCACAAAGTTTCAATCTTTACTCCCACTGATGCACCTGTTACAGGCAGACGAAAGAGCTACCTGAATATCACGCCACGAAATGTCCGGCAAGTGTTTATTGCAAAAGATTCATCATATGATTCGACAAATGAAGATCTAATCAAGGTATTCAACAAAGAACAAGAAATTGAGTTACAGCAGGAGAGTGACAGTGACGACTTTGACGATAGTCCAGCGTTCAATAGCGAGCAAGGAGCACGCCAAGTACTGCTACAACGCACAGTCCGTGACACTTCGGCCGAATTGACTTTTCTATCGCAGCGACAAGTTGTTCATCGCAATCCACCCGTACGAGTAGATCCTGCGGTTGCAACGACAGCTTACAGAAAAGGCACGCAAAAAAAGAGTGCTGCGGCTAGTAAAAGCCAAGATAGTGGCTTGGGAAAATGGCAGTGGAGTAAATTGGTCCAGAAGGCAAGTGATAGTAACAATGATGATTCAGCCATGGATTCGGTTTGCACACAAAAGCGTCAGGGCTTGTTGGATGCTAGCTCACGCCTGGTTAGCCTGATTACAAAGCAAAATGCACGAAACAGGTACGACTTTGTTATTGAAATTGACAGCAATAATATATGTGTTTACAATATGTGTGTGTGTCTCACAAATAGGTCGTTAGAACCAGTAGCAGTTTTAACTGAGCCAAGAAAGTCCGTCAGTATTCAGTGTGCACCGGAAACCGTGTCTGGTTCCCCGTCAGTCCCTCGTGTCGCTTTCGACAGCTGTGATTCAAAAGAGCTTACACAAGGACGTCTGCCGTCACAATCTGATTCGACTTGCCACATAGTAGACGGTAATAGCAATATGAACACCAATTGGGGTGAAGACGATGATGACGACGATTGGTAAATTGAAACTGCAATTGCGTACTTCGTTCTTTAGTATCCTGTTTTAGTGTGGACCACAACTGGTTTACCACCAACACACAAAAGTATTAAATAAGCTGCATGTATCGCTGGGAAGAGGATGAGGTCTCTGGACCATTATTGCGTAAGTTATTGGGTACAGATGACTATTCTACATGGGGAACACGTGCATTTCTTCGTCCAATCTTTCGATGGACGAAGATTGGTCTACACAAGGATGGAAGTCGTGAGAATGAAGCCATAGAGCGCGCGTTTGCTTTTGTAGAGTGGCTCGTGCAATTAGCGACTGAAGGTGACAAGACCCGCAATATTCCGAGACTAATAGCACTTCAACCAAGTTATGCTCTTAATACAATTGTTACAGCTAGTCAGCGTGCTGGTAGTGTCCAAGAAGCTCAGAGAGCATTCGAGTTGCTGGAGAGATACGGCTATCAGCCCGATGTGTTTACGTATACTGCTTTAATCGACGTTATGGCAAGAAATGGAGACTTTATGGGTGCTTTTAAGGTATAGTCTTGATCTATACACAGAGTGTAGTTGGTTCAAAGTAGTTTCATCTTGAGATTCACGTCATTTAATGTTATGATCGTAGAAATACGAGGAGATGCGGCTGTCGACGTCCAAGCCAAATATTGTAACTTATACCACATTAATTCGTGCAGTTGGACTGAGTGAAAGTGTTGAGGTGGAAAATTGTCTGGTATTTCTAGCTCATGCGCGGGAAGATGACGCTTTTGATGAGGCATTGTTTTTGGAGGCGTTGGAAACTTGTGCGAGGAGAAAAGATCGAGCTACAGCAACTCGAGTGCTAAATGAGATTAAAGCGCACTCACCAAAACTCCGTATAGATGATCGCTTCTTCTACACACTGGGTCAGGTAGCTGGATTGTTAGATTACGCTGGTTTGGAACCTGTGCTCACTGAGTGGGTTGAGAGAAACATACTGAACTCAGAAGAGCGAGGTAAAGTTGTAAAGTTGCAACAGCAAGCGGGGATATCTACGACTGCTCAAGGATTAAAGGCGCTCGGCTGTCTGGGACATCAAACATCTCAATCGGTTAGAAAAGCGGTGGTCCATCATGATATTAATCGACTGATTTCGCGCATTCAGAGCGGGTCCATTGTAAATGTGTAAGCAATATTTACTTTGCCTCTATCTTTGCGAGGAATTTTGTTGCTAACTTTACCCATGTTGTGTTTGTCATAGAAACGATTTTGAGACACTTATCCATCAATGTAGAAAGCGAAAGTGGAAAGACGACGTATCGGTCATTGTCGATGCTATGCGTGATCTTGCAACAAAAGGCTGGCAGCTTGTTAGAGACGATGAAGGCACTGCCGACGTCGAATTAATTCCTCCTCAACCACAACTACAGCCTACTTCTAAGACGTATGTTGCCATTGTTGATGCGTACATGTGCTGCGGCGATGAGCCCCTAGGTTGGCAAGTTGTACAGGAAATTGAAAACCTACCAAATATCACGCGAGAATATTCGCTGTACCGCAAATTTGTCCGCGGAGCGTACTTACTAACAAACTGTGACCACATTGCCGATCTGATTGCATTAGCGCATGAGGATAAGATTGTGTTCACCCAACGGATGGGTGTTGAAGTAGCTCGTATGTTCGGACGCCGCCATGAAGAAGGCTTTAACATTTTGGCGTATAAATTGCCTGTTGCCGAGCCTGGGGAAACAACAAAAAGGCAAGTGCTTATTGAGGAATTGGTGAAGTCTTGTGCGTATAAGAATAACGCTTTTGGAGCCGAGCAAACACTGCGGGCTATGCTTAAGCACGGATTTCAGCGTTCCGCTGCCACCGAAATTGCACTTTTCATGTGCTGTATTCAACATGACACGGTTTCAGAGGCTCAAACGATGTTGCAACATTTTCAAGAAACGTCACTGATGATGCCAGTGCCAGTGTACGACTCACTGCTTCGTGAGTTCTACTTCAAATACACGCGTCGTGGTAACATATTTGATGAATCGTCACGAAAAGTTGCGATGAAGACTCTGTACGCACGCCGTGCAATCTTTGAGCTTGTTTCTAAAGACCGCAAGACTCTAGAAGCTGAAAAAGGCGATGGAAACGACGGTTTGATTAATGTGTCAGGCCAAAACTCGGCGTGCTTTCGATATTGGTGTTCGAGAGCAAGCTTGTCGTGCTCTCCTTTGATGTTTGCTCAGCATGCAGTGCAGGTTCTCACCACTAGCCGAGACAAAGACTCAAAGAATGCAGCCGAGCAATTAATTCGGGACGCGCTTATGACCACTTCAGATCCATGTCTCTTTCTATTGCAGTCGGTCGTTGCACTACGCTTTTTGGATTTGACTTTCCGGACGCTAGGTAAGCTGGCAAAGCAGTTGCTTGAAGTGGTAACAGACGAGCTACCAATGGCAGAACGGCATGCACAGTATTGCGTCAGCCAGTTGTCTGTGCTGTCTGTGCATGTTGTGAAGGAACTAGATGACGTCGTATTTCTGCATCGGACGCATCGAGCTGACCTGTTAGCATTCTGCCAAGATGCTCTTGAAATTACTAGCGTCGACAAGACGATGGGTTTCTTAATGCGTCGGCCGGAATTGTACGACGCGGAGACGGCATCATACCTCGGACCAAAATTTGCCGAAATATTTGTTTTTGGCAGAGTGTGCAATGTGCTGACGTTTTTCAAGTCGGCCACAAAGGATGCGTTAGAAATGCGTCGCCAATTTGTGCGAGACGTGATTGAGGTGGAAAATGTGGCTGCGGAAGATGAAGGAGAAGACGGAAAATCATCTGCCTTCAGTTGTACGTACAAGGCTATCCGAGAGTTTAAGTTGGAGCACGAGGCTGAATTCATACCATGTATTATGCAGGCACGCGCAGCAATGCCAACGCCCGTGTACGCTGACGCTTTTGCCACTCCCGTCGATGCTACTTCGTATTTACAAATTCCACTTGCTCCTGAGCATATTGTAGTGGTTGATAGCGATGAGACGTTATCATTAGCCACCGATCTGCTGATGCGAGATAGCGTGACTCGCTTGGGACTTGATGCAGAGTGGCGTCCCGATAGCCGAGCTACGATGCCGTCACAATGCTCAATTTTGCAAGTCGCATGCGACGACTACGTATTCATATTTGATTTGACATTGATGTCACTTGGTGACTTGGAAGAGCTGTTTGAACACTTGTTCTCGTCGGCCAAAATTGCGAAACTCGGTTATGCCATTGATGATGACATTAAACGTCTACGTTGGTCATTTCCACAAGTAAAATGCTTTGACACGTTTGTCAATGTGCTGGATTTTTCGGTTGACAAACTTGAAGCGACGACGCATTTGGTCGACGGATCGATCACTCGTCAAACTCGGGAAAACGAGAGTTTTGTATCTAAACAAGTGCTATGTCGCCACCGTAAGCGCAAAGGACTCAGTGCCTACATCAAGCAGGCACTGGGACAACCATTGTCAAAGTTGCAGCAAAAGAGCGATTGGGAACGACGCCCATTGACGTCACAACAAGTAGCATATGCTGCATTGGATGCATTTTGTCTCCTATTGCTACAAGATGCTCTTCTGTAACACAAGTTATATCAATATTCTAAACCTTGTTATCTAACAACCATACGAAATTCATTGACAAAAGTTGATGCGTTGCTCTCTAACTGAATGATGTATTTTTTCGCAAAAACAGGTTCACTCACTCTATAAAACGACGATCTTTTCTACTTTGGAACAAATCAAAGCAGACGTCAAATTTGTACCAGTAAAAGTCAAGACGTTCCTCCCCTCACCATGTCAACGCCTGCGCAGGTGCTTCAAGACGTGGATTTTGACAAACGTCTTGCTGATATAAAAGCGCGTCTTCCTGATACGTTGAAACTAGCTCAGAATGGTTCATTGGCCAAGCGAAACCAGATTAAACGCAAACTTTATCACGATAGTGAGCTCATTCGCATTGAGCTAGAGGAGCGTATGAATGTGCTTGGTATTGAAAGCCAATGGATGACAGCAATGGAAATGAAACAAGCAAATATACAGCTTGATATCATACGTAAAGAGCTAAAGCTGGATGTATTACCGGATAGTTCATCGCTCTTTGAAAAGTTATACATGGTCATTCGAATGCTTACGATGGTGTTAGTCCTTGTGGGCTGGTTAAGTTATGTGATAGTACTCATACCATTAAAGTTATTTACTCCAGTGCTTAAGCAAATGGGTGTTAAGACGAATTATCTTCCAATGGATATTGTTTCTTGGGGTACAGCAGCAATGGTTTGTGTCACAGCCTGTACAGACGTTAAAGTCGAAGGAAGAGAACACTTGTTCAATTTAAAAGACTCGGTGGTCTGTATGTTTAGGTGAGGAATAAGAAAGTGAAGAAAATTCATGCAATGGAGGAAAAAACTGACTGCTTTGGATATGTTTTGCTACTTTTATAGCCACTCGTCAAACCTTGATGGGTTCATTGTAAACGGATCATCACCTATCGCGTTCAAGTTTGCGGCAAAGAAAAGTCTCTTTTTAATACCGTTTCTAGGCTGGTCGTCCCGCTGGGGTTTTGACTTTGTCGCCATTGATCGGTCTCGTCGGTACGTCGGCCATGTCTCTACAATTTAATGGTTTGTCCAAGCTGAATCTTCTTGTCTTGCGTGTTGTCCGTCGTAGCTCGTCAGCGCTAAAGAGTCTTAAAGAGTTGGCAGTGTCGGTGAACGAACGTGGCAACTCTGTCTGCATCTCCCCTGAGGGTACACGCTCGAGGGACGGCCTGGTCCGTGGTGACATGTGCTCGATATGCAACACGTTTTGCTGGTATGTCTGATGATGCTGTTACCCTATGTATTGCAGCTACAAGAGTTCAAGAAAGGGCCATTTTATCTACGCGAGGATACAAAGAAGAATGTGTTGCCGTCCATTGTGTTTGGCGCGTACGAGCTGTGGCCGCCTGGACGCCTATTTAGCATCCCCGGACATGTACGCTATTTCAGCTAAGCTAAAAATCATCGATTGTTTGATGAATTCATTAACGCTAATGCATTGTGCAGACGTTGGTGCGCTACTTGCCAGAGTTCAAGCCGGATCCAAACTTGAACCGAAACCAGAACCGTCTCGCACTGCGTCGCATCTACCTCAAGGCCTTCACAGAGGATGTTCCAGACTACATTGGCACTCGCGTTGGCACCAACTTTATCCTGAAGAACATGTTCTATCACTACCTTGCGTGGTCAATCACGTTCAAAGTGACGTCGTGGGCTTTTACGGCAATTGGTCTTGTCTGTTTCTATTTGAACATCACGTACGGCACGTTCATGCTCTTCTCGCTGGTAATGATGGTCGGGGGTGAAGCCCTCATGTTCTTCACCTGCTAAGCCATCTTGGAACGACAGTATGCGCTGAATAGAAGCACACAATACCACAGCCTCGAATTCTGTCGCCGTGCCTCATCCACTCGATATTAGTAAGTACGTGCCGTTGTTGCTGCCAGCCGCTCATGTCGTCCTAGGTATGAATTACACCATTTGAATACATTCTGGTAGCTAGACACTTAGAATCTCCGCTTGTGCTACTTAATAACTGCTGGCCTTTTACACTTTTTAACCTTGGCTTCCATTAACTTTCGTTCGCGCTCTTTAAGCGTCGCGTACAGTGGCTCCGCAGGCGATTGCAGGGACGAATAGGACGCCAAACGATGGCGATCTACCTTGAGCTGCTCTTCAGTGGACAATGCGGGTAAGAAAAGACCATTAAGATCTCCAGAGTGCTTTGCTGCCGCCTCCTGCCGTTCACGTTTGCGCTTCCGCACTCCAGCGTTGCGGAATCGCACGGGCGCCGTACGAGGCTCTCCCCAGCCCATGAGGATGTTGCCTTCCAGCAGAGTATCACGCAAAAACTTTTCCTCATACTCATAAAGTCGACAACCTTGATCTCTCCATTCTTTCTCTTCCATCAGCGTCTTAGCCCGCAGCGCTCGTAACTTTGCGTCCAGGTCCTTTGTGGTCGTCATTGTCCCTATTTGGTAAGAAAGAGTGTATACCGAACCTACTCAGGTGTATACCGAACCAACTCAGGTGTATATTGTTGCAAAAAAAGCAGTATAAGTTACTTCTTTTGTAACCGGGTTACAACTGAATACAGCGATGTGAAGCACATAAAATAACAACTATAGCTGTAAGGCTTCGATAAGTACGGTCGTCAAGATTGGTTTGCATAGTAAGCATCACTGCTTAATCGTTCTCTTCCTTTCAAACTTGGCTTTATTTGCTACATAATAAAACGAATATTAGTAGGTTTAGAGGTAAATACAAGTCTCAGTCGGCTTACGTTAGCTTCGAACGTGGAGATCTGTGCCATTCTCGTTAGCGGGTATCTATTGTACAGCGGGCCCCTCGGTGTTGGGTCGACGGTCATTCATAAACGACATTCTGATACCCGCTGAATCGTGGGATATGTTGTGCTTAAATGTGAAAAGACACTTAGACGTGTGCGACTATTGGAATTTGTCAATCAGCGCAGTCAAGAGCTCGTGGGGTGCCAGAAGGTAGACTGTCTCGGTCACGGGTCTATGACCAAGGACTAGAGGCCCACCCAAAGAACTTCCAGTCCTTGGTCGACCTACCACTGCCTACGACTCTAAAGGCTATCCAAACATTTTTTGGAAGTCTAAACTATCAAAATAGGCTCATTAAGTAACTACGTTATGTACGCATCGATCCTCTACGAGTTAAAAAGGGTGGACTTCCATGCATAGCGGTGCAAGTTGAAGAGTAACAATAGTGCGGTGACCAAGGAACAAAGATGAAGAGAAATGGTCCAGAGCTCAAGAAGCTTTCGCCATACTCAAAAAAATTGTGTGGGGAAGTGTAGATTAGCGACGCGTGGCGTTGATCTGTCATACAAGGAGGCAAGACGATAGTTTTTTGGGTTTATTGGACATAGGTTAGTAGTGAATTTGCAAGGGGGGGAAGGTTTTTGGCCAGGGGTTCAGGTATACTCAAACCAAGTCAAGTGCGATCGGACGCAGCGTTCAAGCATGGGACCTCTACGAGACGGACCAAGTGGTCAGAAGCTCTACTAGGCGGCTCAAAAGGACAAACAAGAAAGGTGAAGAGAAGATACAGGGTGGATCAAGGCAGCTTTTAGCTCCAGTGTTTACTGCGATGGCGTGAAGAATTCCCACGCAATCCACCACTTTCGATCCAGCACCCATCACGATCAAGATCGGATCACGTCCACCGAGGAGAGTGCAACCCGCCCAGTCGACGGGTACACAAGATGAGGAAGGACTAGCATCAGGTATCGGAGTCCTCCCTCCGTCAGTCGACAGTTCGGACGCCAGTGGAAGGTCGGGATCACAGAGTTTTTTGTGATCACCGCTTTACCACAATGGTGCGCGTGCCCGGATCTTCTGGTGACCCGGAATATCACCGTGTATCTTATAGCAAACATCAAACAATCAAGCTGGAACTTAGTATCGAAGCGTAAACGGAAGTCGGATCCCCACGGACGCATGAAAATAAAGGATCACCGGATCGTCAGAGTTTCGTGAGAAACATTGACTACGGGAAAATTAAAGAGGAAGATCAATTGAACCTGATAGAAAAACCTCTAAGTCCTCTTCAGGTCCTTTCAGGGACCCCCGCTGATCGCAATAGGAAGCGCGACTCGCTAGGTGAAGATTGATCGGTTAAAACGGAAAGATCTTTATCTAAAAGGCCTCCGAATATTACATCCAATATTAAGAAGTCGAAAGATTCGCAGAAGAAAAAGTTGCGAGCACCAGGATCGTATCAGGATGATCCAGCCAATTTATCGTATCATGTTGAGCCAGTAAAAGTCTTTGGATCAGGATGATCAAGTGAAGTTGCTGAATCATGCACATCCGTTCAATTTTGTGAATGACGGCGATCTCTATCAAGCAGAAGGATGGCAGATGGATCAGACAGCCTATGAATTTGATTGGAACGAATTGAATGCGCTGTTATTAAATGATCCTGTGCTCATGATCATGAAGCCAAAAGCTGATCAGACCGTTGAAAGGTCCAGTATTACACCGACACCGATGACGAGCACGTTAAACGAGATCCGCCAGCTGATGCAGCTTTTACAGGTTGCTGGATTTACCGCTGGATCGTTTGAAGCCCATAGACTACTCGATTGCGATAAAGATCAGGTGATGAACGCAGCGCGATCGCTTGATGAAAAGTAAGTTCCTATGACTAGTATGATGAAGTCGACGGATCACATGAACATGTAGACACGAGACAGTCCGAATGAGTACCATACTGGATCGTTGCAGTTTGCCTCGGCAGAATGTAAGCCTACTCGGAAGAATCGATCAAGATTGATAGTATGCCGCTTGGACCTACAGGTGCAGCATCATTGCGTGATTGCAAGGTGTCGACCAAAGCCGAGCCGAGATGAGGCATCAAACCCACGCTTAGGGTATGGATCCCATCGGATTGAGCCAGTTACGATCGTATTTTGACGCTATTATGGAGAGGCTTTCTCGCGAACAACAGACCAGACAGGGGAAGATCGCTCCAGATGATCGATCAAGAATTCCCCCGGATTGCCGATCGTGCATTCCTGATATTGAGATGGAATCAGTGGGATCACGTGGTAGGCGTTTAGAAAAGTACGATCCGGACGATCTTTTTGATCTGGATGACCCTCGACGACCGTTGATAGCGACTGCAGAGGCTATTTCGAGTGAGGAGGATTTACTACTATGCGTATGCGCGCCTCAGCGATTGCAAATCTGAAAAGAGTTTTCTGGGAGAGACAGATGAAGATCGAGCAATGCAATAAGTTGGATCAGCAAGTTCAAGTCTGCATTCCTACGCGATCAGGCACCAGACGTGGAAAAGTGTTTAGATTTCAGTACTTTCTTACGTAACGGCGCGAACTTGGTATGCCCAGTTGAGCTGATCGACGCAAAACACATGGAAATTACTCTTGGAAAATTTTATGGTTCAGTATGGGGATATGGATTATCTACCGGAAGGCATTATTACTATGCGTGGAACCAATCAGATGAAACTCCAGTAGAGTATCTTTATCGACTGAACGTGGCGGGAATGAGAGAGAAGGTTCCAGTACAAGATGGATCACCCAATGCTCGTCGTGAGTACATGGAGGATTTCGTTGAGACTTTAGATGATTCATGTGGCAAAACAGCTGACGCTATTACGATTGGAAGATGCAGATGTCATGGAGGAAACATTACGTGCGTATCAACGTAAGAAATCCCGACAAGGTGAAGCATCTATTGGATCGAGCAAGTTTCGTCAGCAATCTGCTACCCCACCCAATCCGACATCGTCAAAACCTGCTTGCGCAGTGTGATCGATCCATGTCAAATGTAACAGCAGTCGATCAACAACAGAAACTAATGGACCGGATGCAGTCAGGCAACATTGCTCGTCAAAATCCGCGCGGTCCACTTCCGAGTTTGTCAGCATATTCTTTGGCCGATATGAAAACATCTTCATCAAACGTGAACCACGGGAAATAGTCGATACGGCGTATCCAGAAGCTCTAAACTTACCGCGTGGTCTCCACACAATTCAGCAACTCAAAACGATCCATGCTACATATGCGCAATTTTGTTTCGCATATCATTCCTTTGCACAATAATATAGCCAGACTTGCGGTCTGCTATCGAACCCATGTGGCTTTTGATCCGTGTTGTGTTGTTCGGCTTGATCTATGATGGCTTTCTTCAATCGATCATTCGCAACAGGTAAAAATGCTGGATCCGGTATCTCCACCTCCGCGGTTCCCGGTCACGCGGTTTAGTACTTACTAGGGGTAACGTTGCTTACAAAGCATATCATGATACGAATCATGAATCAAATAGAAGGGGTATCCCCACGGACGCGATCTTGCGCTGTAATAAGTGCAAATGTTAATCGCTTTGCATATTCATCTCAGTCCTCCTGATCCACATATGCTACATACATCTTCAGGGCCCTTGTCAAAGTTTGGACCATACGCTCCGCAGTTCCATTAGATTGCGATCGGTAAACAATAGTTGCACGCTTTTTTCTGTCCTGTGATTCGGTTGAACGCTCTGAAAAGATCAGGCATGAATCCCCGATTGCGATCGTGACGGATCGCTTTACTGGCACTTCCCCGCCAAAAACACATTCTTCGTATTTTCTGCATTATTTGTGCTGTTTGAGATGAGATTGTCTTTTCAATCACATACCCAGAGAATAGATCAATCAAATCAACAATTACATATTTTCTTTGTGCGATCGTGGTAGCGATGGGATATGATACATGGCAGTTATTTGAAATGGGTACGACGTATCTTGACATTCCGGAATACACCACGGATCGCGGGGTTTCCAGTTTCTATTCCACGCATTCACTCACGTACCGTTGTACACTGCGATAAAAATCTCGCCAAAATGAAAGTTGGATCGGATCCGCGGATAGGTCCTACCAATTTCTTGGTGACCACCTACCAAACTAGAATAATAATGATGCAAGAAAATTTTCTGCATTAGTTCTGGCACCTCCAAGCAAACCGATTCCACTCGATCCTCTGTGTTAGCAGCAGGTCTAGGAAAGATAAACACCAAATTACTATTATCCACTTCGTAATCTGGCGCGATTAAAGCATTTGAGTTAGCCAAATCCGAATCGAGCATAGCCACATCCCCAATCAGATATGTCTTCAAGCAGGCAATCCATCTCTTTTCATCTTGCGCTTGTTTTATTCGCTCGACACGAAGTTGTATCCATTGTGCATTGGGGCTGCCCTCCACCAACATCGATATCGCAAACGGCTCCACGTACTGCCGTAGGTACTTGTCTTTCACCCAAGTGGACGTCTTCACGACAGATAATTATTGAGATCTGGTGCATTCTCAAGGATGTCACGTACAACCGCGAGTTAGTTGTGCGACCATCTTTACTGCAGGGTTTTTTGCGAAATGGCTTACCATGGGTGGGGGCTGGAATGAAATAAAATTGTGACAAAATCATCCTCTTAGTCCGGAGATGAGGTGCGTTCAAACTTACAGGTTATTGCATCAAACTGAGAGCGTTCGAGGTTGCTACCATGGATATGCAGCATACCATCCACCTCTAACAGCGACTACAGAAAGAATATAACATTCAATAATGTCTCCTAAAGTTTTGATGCCAATGGCGTGTCAGCAGTCAAGTAGATACACACAAATGTAGCACATATGTCGTCAGTTGGAAAAGCACGCTGCTTGTTATCTGGTCAGTATTCCAGTCAAAAAATACATCACAGAAATGTTACAAGTAGACGCTACTTTGCATGTGGCATCGGCCGATGCAAACAAATTACGTCTAAACGTAGGTGCCTCCTACCTCTAACACGTAATAGTCTGAGAATTTACTATCCAGCCAGTAGTCCAACTTGATAGCTGCCTGGCTGTTACATTTCACAGGCGTCTCTCGGTAAGTTTGCACTTGAATAAACACCCGTGCCATTCGATCTTCCAGTACTTTTGCATGGACACATCACATAGTACCTTCCGCATTAAGAGCTTTGCCTTGTCCAACGTCTCAAGGTTCTCAATTGTCTTGAAAACAAATTGAAAATGCCGCACTAGCAAAGACAAGAGCCTTCTTAGCATATACTGACTCTGACCAATCCGAGCTAGGCTTGTATACATACATCAATATCATTCTTGCATCGTATCCTATCCATTATGCATCACATGAGTCTGCAAATTTAGACCAAGAAACGATCGTGCAGGATTGTCTGCGTATTTATGCAGACGAATTTTACGTTCATATGAAAGCAACGGACCTTGTACTGGTGGTAATACAAACTCATCATCTTGCAAACACTGGGGCGTTTGCGTAGAACAGTCTACTCGATGCTCTTGCTCGTCGTTCAAAGTGCTAGACGCACACGATAGAAGAAACCATACCAATTACTCGCGGTCGAAAAACATGGTGTTTACAGATCACAAATTATCACCCACAGGTACGCGGATGATGATACAGTGGTAGCCGTCCGGTATCACTACATCGACACGTACTTTTCGACATGTATCTCCCCATGTGACAATGTCGTATTCCATAGCGCACTGCAGGACCGGTTGCATAATGACGACGCTGATTGGTTGAATAGGAGTTACGAATGGATATATTTTATTTTTTCCATGTATAGATAGCACATGTACCAAGTAAATGGTATCTGTCATGCCAGGCAATTTCAGCATTGTAGCCGCGCGATACAAGAGCAATTAGTTTGAAGCCCTACGTTTACTTCTATCCATAGGCAATCGATAATGAATCAGATTGTAACGATAACCACCAGTATTAACAACAATAACAATAACAGTAGCTTTTCCAGCTGTTTCAAGGGACCGTCAGTACATGCGGCTGCTAATGCCACGGGCTCAAGTGACTTATCCGACAATAGCGCGTTTCCTTTTCCTATTTAAAGGTGACTGGGTCTCCAAATCAACTGGCGTAGCTGTTTTTGATCATCTGTAAGAGATACATATGGATCATTCGCTTGAATACAATCGATCGTCGCTTCCACTCTAGGAGTTGCGATCTCTGTCAAGACTGTCCTATTTTAATCCACATCTTCAGCATATGATTCTACAGATTCGTGATAATAGACGGATTCATTGGGAATATCTTCATTATTTGTTCCGTCTGGTATGCTTGCAGTGAAAAAAACTGGCAAAGGATCGATTGTGGTATGGATCGTCGAATCTGATTGATCAGGTGCTCGATCTGAATCAATAACTTCCGTGATCGACAGTCCTGTCAATCACGGAAGTTAAAGGATTGATCAGGATTTTGATCTGCAATGATAACTTCGTGATCGAGTGAATCGCGATAGGCAACGCTGGCGATCGCAATACTTATTGATCTTCACCCAATTTTTCTTTGATCGATCTAGAACTTTACCCTCTACACCACTTTCAATTGATCGCGACGTGATCCGTGCCGCTCCCATAAATTTCTCTTTGTATCGCTTATTTAGCGACTTAAAATCTTCGTTGAGGGTTGTTTATTATGGTGTAAGGGATATGTGTATTGAACTTGACGATCGCAGGGTGATTACACCGGATAGAAAGCAAATATTTGGCGATCACGAGGTAATGGATCGGATCGCGATCTAAAAGAAGGTAAATACAAAGAAAAAGATGGAGCAGTGTATATTCAGGACAGATACACAATATCAAGCTGCAGCTTCAAGAATCTACCAACCAATCGCGGAATTGCCGAGCCAGGGTGATCGGCGATTGAACATCGATATTGTATTTGCAGTGGATCCAGACTATCCGCCTTATACGATGCCATGATTAAGTTGAAGATGTTAGGCTGTTTACATACCAACCAAGGATACCACATCTTCTCGGTCGACCGAAAGAAGCGCAAGAAATGGGCCCAGCAAGATATCCCGATCACAATGATTCGCAATCATCCCTTAAAGGATGAAACAAAGAATATTCTTTCAACGGGGTTCCGATCGTGATTGGCGTTGTTTTCTCTCGTTGCAGAACTGCGCCAGATCTGGATCTAGTTGCCGCTGTTCAGTGGAGTATATGAGTGGATTCCTACAATGCTTGCAGGGGAGGATCCAGGAACTCATTTCCACACAGAGTAAACGGCTTCTTAAACCATTCAGACTTGATATGCGAGATCGACCCAATCGGCGTGTTGAGGACTTCTCACGGTTCACGGCTATACAGCGCGGATGTCTTGACCCAAGTCAGCAGATGTGGCGCCCACTCGAAATCAGGGGGCGATCGAAGTACGACAACTTTGGTCGGTAAAACATATCCGTGGGGCTTCAAGAAGTGACTAGTAAAGGGGTAAAAGTCCATCTCCGCTACGCTGACCAAGCTGGTCCGCTTTGATGACCAAGGTATCACATCGGAACAGGATCTTGCGACTCGATCGTGGTATCCGGGGATCCACAGATCGCGAGGCACCTTGGTCGGAAAAATCTGGTGGTAGCGATCGGAAGGATAAATGTCCTTCACAATCTCGCGGGTACACTGACATCGATCCGAGTCACCGGAAGCCTTTCCGAAGAGATCAACCTTGGATACTTTTGGACGCACGATCAGGGACGATGGAAGTGGGAACGTAGGAGAAATGTCCGAGTCCAACACGATCGGCGCGGACAATAAAAGCGCAGGTGGAGCCACGGTGGCGGAGCGGGATCCACATCACGACGGTGAAAGCGATCCAGACAATGAAGCAACTGTTGGTTCGTCCCATACGTCGGAAGAATCGCTGTCCTTCGATAGAGATGAGGGTGATGGTGCAGCTTTTTGTATGTGCTTTACCCCGGTTCGAACTATAAAAACGAAGCCTAGGGGCGCGATCGGATGGGCGTAGACTGCGTAGATCCTGATTTTTTGCTTGATCGGCTGAAACCCATCGATTTTCGGACAATATCTGAATATTGGAAAGGTGGATCGCTGGACTTGGGGATACAAGACGATCTTGATCGAGCTCGGCAAGATGGCGCCGCAGTGAAAGCCAACGGATTTCAAGTTCGCGTCGGTGCCCGAGAAGCCGATCGGGAAAGAGGCTGTGGACGATTTGACGCTAGATTCACCAGCTGATAGCGAAGCAAATCGTGATCGTGGATTGCATCATCCCGCTATGCCTCTTGACGAAGAACCTTGACCTGTATTCAACTGAGGCTGGCGTCTCGATCCGCGACGTCGTGTAGCAGTCGATCGCATCGGGCATGAAAATCGTTTATTTCGGCTTACAACTTCTCGATCTTGCGCTTGGAATGAGACCAGCGTTTGTTGTACTTGGGTGACTTCGATACACGATCTTCGATATCAGCCAGCTGGCGCTGAAAAGTTTTCAGATCAACGAGACGGGCGGTGTTGGCTAGATCGAGCGCGGATCGCAATGTTTGGACTTCTTGAAATTGATGTAGATAATCACCTAATTTTTTTGTAATCCAATCGACTCTTGCTTCACGTCTTGTAGCTGGCTATGAGATATGTCGGGAAATCACTCGAAATCGCGGATCGTGATCGCGAGGTCAAGCCTTAAAAAGAGAGTGGTGACGCTGTAATCTCCACCTAAGGAGATCGTGTTAGAAGACCCAGAGCGGGAATGAGGAGGTAGATCAGTCAAACAGATATCTCAGGATCGGGCGATGCCCAGATCGAGTGGATCGCGCGATCGGGCCAGTCCAAAAAACAATCACGATCAAGGAGGATATTTGACCTGGAAAAGAAGAAGAGCGTGAAGAAAGAGCGGTAGTGGTCGCAGGATTCATGGGGATGAAGACTCGGATGCACGAGTACTTTGACACTGGATCTATGGAATGTCAAGTGTTCACACGTCACAGATTTATGTGGGTGACCATATGCTAGCTTTGCTTTCGTAAAAAGTCTCAAGAAAGTTGTGAGCCAAAATTGTGACCACATGTTGGCTCGATGTCTGCAAACTTTATCTGGTACTTTAAAACTTGGTGTAGGTTCCAATTCCAACTTGCTAGCTATTCGGAATGTATCTGGTAAGAGTGTTCATGAAGATTGGAGAGATTTCAACAACGTTGTTAAGGTAAAAATTGATGGTCTTTCCGATACACATTCGCATTCGGCGTCTAAAGTAGATTTGTACTGGCTTCTGCAGGAACTTCGCAACATTTCAAGGGAGAATGGACTGGAAGGAGAAATGCCAGACACAAAACTTTTGAAAGAGTTGGGCTATGGAGCGTTAGTCATGGCAATTCGTAAGAAACATGGAGGCGTTGTGGAAGTGGCGACCAAAATGGGTGCACGCAAAGACCACCAGGTCGTTGAGGTGCATAAGAAAATAAGTGCACGTTGTACACGCCGGAAAAAACGAAAGGAGCGACTAGATATGCACGATTTTTATTAAATACAGCTGAGGCAAAGTGTACTTGATACGATTTCACACAACGCAATACTGTGTCTACTCATTCGTTATAATCCATGAGCTTCTACGGCCTGTCTTACACAAAACATTTTGTAAACACTCGTCAAGCACAGCTTTGTGTGTATAAAGAACGAGACGACCCACGCGCAGTACGCCAGCTTTGATCCATGCTCGAGCCATAACCTGTGCAATGACTTCTTGCTCAACACTTCGGCGGCTGCTAGAGTAAAGGTCAGTATCTTTGTCCCTCTTCAAACCAAAGACCGCAAAACAAAGCTTTCGTTTTGTGAACCGAGCCTGGAAGGCGCGCTGCATCTTGACAAGCCAAGGTCGATCAAATACATAACCTTGCCGACTGGAAAGTGAGATTACCATTGGCGTTTCTGTTAGTCGGTTAACTAACTCTTTGTTTGGCATCCTTGCCAGATCATCAAGCACACGCTGTACTACTTCTCCAAAACACACACCCAGCTCTCGAAAATGTATCTGACGTGTTGCTTTGTCTTGGAAATATTCCCTGTCAGTGCTTACAAACCTTAAGATGACATTGCCAGAGCACCTGACGTCTTGGATATCGATGTACGTGAGACGTGGAGCACGCCACAAAGCTGCCAAACCTCGGTCTGTGATAGCGTTGACTGCTGCACTATAGCCCTTGTGACTGTTTGATAAAGCACCCAGCTTTCGAATGCGTAACGAACCGAGTTGCGGACAATTATCCGATAACGCGACGAAGAAATCATCGCTAAACACGTTTGGGTCAATCATCTCGTCAATTTGAGGGTAAATCCGTGCATCACACGGCTGCAATCGATGAAGAACAACGTCTAAATGTTCCAATGCTGGACAATTGGACAAAAGCACGTTCAAGCCACCCGTTGAGTATTCATTTCGACGATTACGGAACGGAGCTCGTGTATTGTATGTAAGCTGTAAGCGTGTGAGATTGGGCTTTGTTGTCAATCCAAACTGCAGGAAGAACTCATCCGAGAATGGCACTACTACGACCCAGCTAAACTCCCGCAACGCAACACACGACTTGCAGAAGGTTTTTCAAACGTCTCGTGATACACACAAACTTTCATCAGATGCCACCAGTCTCGCTCCTTCATTATACGACCGTTTCCATCCATCGAGATACTCCAAGTGTGGACATAGCGCTAATACCGTCGACAAGTATTCGTTGGACGTACTCTCTCGATCAAAGTTGCTTCGTGAAGGTACTGTCAGCTGTCCCAGTCCTTTCCCCCGTACAGTCTCCAAAATACAAAGTCCATGTTGTCTGTAACTGCATTTGCATGGACTTGATCTTTTAAAAGTAAAATCAATGCTTCCAATTGTTTACAGTGGATCGAAGCTGCATCTATCAGATCTTCCACTGCGTAGTGATGGAGTGGTACTCCTGTCAAGTCCAGCCGATGTATATTAGGACATAGTTTGAGTATTTGTCTCCACTCTACCCATAGTTCGGGATGACCTGCTCTTGCTTGAGTTCAGAGCGGAATCTGGTATTGGGCACTCAGATCCCACCAAGGAGCACGTTTTTCTTCGGGAATGACAATTCGCAAGTCCAGTAACTTGTCGCCCGTTTGATCGGTTGCTAGTTTTTGTATGATCTGGTTTTCTTCTTCTTTGTCATATGCAGTAAAATGTAGCGTCAAAACGCAAGAGGTCTCATGTTCCATGCACAATTCTTCGACGATATTGCGACATGTACGACATACATACGACAAACGCTGCAAATTGTAAGTGGAAGGTTCATTCAGTCGTTTTGCAAAATTCAAAGCAGAAATACAGTCATTATGTATGTTAATATCATGAGGAATAAGCTTTGGCGCCCCTGCGAATGAGCAAATCTTACGCTGAAGAACTAACGGTAGTGAGTTCATTTGGAAATGGGACGATTCTATCTATTTTTTTAAGATGAATATATTGACAATCGTGACGTAAAGAGCTCGTTTTTGATGAAAAGTGATGGATGGACGGACCTCCATCGTGAATACGTCAATTTGTATAAAAGACCAGCTGGTTTTCACCAGGTCTACTATTATCAATGCATACAAGATTTCAGCATCAAATATTCTCATTCATGTCGGCACCAAAGCTAACACTTGGAAGCATTGATTTTACCTTTAAAAGATCAAGTCCATGCAAATGCAGTTACAGACAACATGGACTTTGTATTTTGGAGACTGTACGGGGGAAAGGACTGGGACAGCTGACAGTACCTTCACGAAGCAACTTTGATCGAGAGAGTACGTCCAACGAATACTTGTCGACGGTATTAGCGCTATGTCCACACTTGGAGTATCTCGATGGATGGAAACGGTCGTATAATGAAGGAGCGAGACTGGTGGCATCTGATGAAAGTTTGTGTGTATCACGAGACGTTTGAAAAACCTTCTGCAAGTCGTGTGTTGCGTTGCGGGAGTTTAGCTGGGTCGTAGTAGTGCCATTCTCGGATGAGTTCTTCCTGCAGTTTGGATTGACAACAAAGCCCAATCTCACACGCTTACAGCTTACATACAATACACGAGCTCCGTTCCGTAATCGTCGAAATGAATACTCAACGGGTGGCTTGAACGTGCTTTTGTCCAATTGTCCAGCATTGGAACATTTAGACGTTGTTCTTCATCGATTGCAGCCGTGTGATGCACGGATTTACCCTCAAATTGACGAGATGATTGACCCAAACGTGTTTAGCGATGATTTCTTCGTCGCGTTATCGGATAATTGTCCGCAACTCGGTTCGTTACGCATTCGAAAGCTGGGTGCTTTATCAAACAGTCACAAGGGCTATAGTGCAGCAGTCAACGCTATCACAGACCGAGGTTTGGCAGCTTTGTGGCGTGCTCCACGTCTCACGTACATCGATATCCAAGACGTCAGGTGCTCTGGCAATGTCATCTTAAGGTTTGTAAGCACTGACAGGGAATATTTCCAAGACAAAGCAACACGTCAGATACATTTTCGAGAGCTGGGTGTGTGTTTTGGAGAAGTAGTACAGCGTGTGCTTGATGATCTGGCAAGGATGCCAAACAAAGAGTTAGTTAACCGACTAACAGAAACGCCAATGGTAATCTCACTTTCCAGTCGGCAAGGTTATGTATTTGATCGACCTTGGCTTGTCAAGATGCAGCGCGCCTTCCAGGCTCGGTTCACAAAACGAAAGCTTTGTTTTGCGGTCTTTGGTTTGAAGAGGGACAAAGATACTGACCTTTACTCTAGCAGCCGCCGAAGTGTTGAGCAAGAAGTCATTGCACAGGTTATGGCTCGAGCATGGATCAAAGCTGGCGTACTGCGCGTGGGTCGTCTCGTTCTTTATACACACAAAGCTGTGCTTGACGAGTGTTTACAAAATGTTTTGTGTAAGACAGGCCGTAGAAGCTCATGGATTATAACGAATGAGTAGACACAGTATTGCGTTGTGTGAAATCGTATCAAGTACACTTTGCCTCAGCTGTATTTAATAAAAATCGTGCATATCTAGTCGCTCCTTTCGTTTTTTCCGGCGTGTACAACGTGCACTTATTTTCTTATGCACCTCAACGACCTGGTGGTCTTTGCGTGCACCCATTTTGGTCGCCACTTCCACAACGCCTCCATGTTTCTTACGAATTGCCATGACTAACGCTCCATAGCCCAACTCTTTCAAAAGTTTTTTGTCTGGCATTTCTCCTTCCAGTCCATTCTCCCTTGAAATGTTGCGAAGTTCCTGCAGAAGCCAGTACAAATCTACTTTAGACGCCGAATGCGAATGTGTATCGGAAAGACCATCAATTTTTACCTTAACAACGTTGTTGAAATCTCTCCAATCTTCATGAACACTCTTACCAGATACATTCCGAATAGCTAGCAAGTTGGAATTGGAACCTACACCAAGTTTTAAAGTACCAGATAAAGTTTGCAGACATCGAGCCAACATGTGGTCACAATTTTGGCTCACAACTTTCTTGAGACTTTTTACGAAAGCAAAGCTAGCATATGGTCACCCTTGATCACAAATAGAGCAATCTAATGGACATAAAGCTGTGACGTGTGAACACTTGACGTTCCGAGGGTATGGAATAACTATCGTAGCAAAGCCGCTATACCAACGACGGGTTGACGAACACAAGGTCTACGAGGTTCACGTTTTAGGGTTAGCAACCCTCTCAAGGCTAGCTTAATAAGCTTCTGTCTTCTAGTTGTAGACTTTTAATGTCTTTATAAGACCAGTATAACCAATACTAATTCCTTCTCTAAAAAAATAACGCTTTAGCAGCAATGCTATACAAAGCAGGTTTTAAACTGATTTATTTGAGTTTTTTATATCGTCTAGCACCGGTGGAGTGAGTTTGCATAACGGTGTGATGAGACTTTTTACTACTCACTGCTCCGGACTGCCGACTGTCGGAGGTGATACACCGATGCCGCGTATGGACCTTGTCTCACCTTGTGTTCTCGTCGGCTGGCGGGTTGCACTCTTCGGAAGACTTGGTGAGGATGTAGATTTCGGCCTTGAGAGATCGAGCCTTGGGGTGATATTCTTCACTCAGTAGGCTAGTAGGTGGCTACTCGGTCGACTTTGTCGAGGGTGGACTTATAACCAAATTCTTCAGGGGGAGCTTCTAGACCCTGGATTTTTTCTTAGTTATCTCAGGGGTGTTGACCGCCTCGCATTTACTTGCTCTCGAACTACTAGGATAAGGAGACCGCTTCCAATAGCGGGTAGATTGAGGGGTGCTACTTAGACGATCCCACAGGCCAAATATATCCTGGGGTTCTCTTGCACGTGAGTCTTACCACACGACTGTCTTCGACGGGGGGGAGCGAAGTGTATCCCATCCCGGAACAGGTGGGTAGACTTAAGAAGTTCCTTATAAGCGTAAGGTAGACGTACCATGTGGATCTCAAATTAAGAAGTATGTAATATGTTCCTATCTCTTAACTTCTTTACTCTACCCTTGCCTTGTATCTTGGTTCCTTATGTTGATTGGCCAAGGGTAGCATAGTCCTAAGAGACCATAGTAGACCTTAAGTGAACGAGGCCTATGCTGAGGGACTAAAATTGACTTTGAGGAACCAAAGTCGACCCTGAGGGACCACGGTCTACCGATGAGGGACCAAGGTACACCTCGCGTGATCGGGGTCTACCGATGAGTGACCGCGATTTATTAGAGAGGAACCGTGGTTCGCTCCTTTCAGTACTGTCTCATCAGAACCCCGGAAGTGATTTTTGATGGCAAAGTCTTCTCATCCATCGGTCGATTTACTATCTTGGTCCCCTCTTTCTTATTAGGCCATCGCTCAACGGTATCGTATCTTCTGAGGTCGCCGTTCTCTCTGGTCCACCTGTCCTTGGGCTATCTGTAATTATGAAGTACTTCATTACAGTCGCACCATGCACTTGCGTAATCGTGCAGCTGTTTAAGTACACGCATATCTTCAACACGCCCGTCACGTAAGTGTGAAGGCTTAATGATTGTGGAAGTGGTCTATTTTAGGAGCGATCGGGCGATCCAATGATTGCGGTAAGTCCAAATGACACGTGATTGGTCAGTAAAAGCGATCACACGGTGTGGATTACACAATACGGATCGCGATCGTGCCCAGCCAATCAAGTCTTATATCGATCGTAACGCGTAGTGTGGACCACACACCCTAGATCACGATCGCGGACTAAGTCGCCAGCGGATCGGATCACGTGGTGTGGAGCGCATACTTCGGATCGCGATCGCCAATCGAGTCGTCAGCGAATCACATAGCGATGTCTGAAGTGGACCGCACATCTTAGATGGAAATAAAGATTGAAGCGACGCATGGCGTTGATCTGTCATACAAGGAGGCAAGACGATAGTTTTTGGGTTTATTGGACATAGGTTAGTAGTGAATTTGCAAGAAGGTTTTTGGCCAGGGGTTCAGGTATACTCAAACCAAGTCAAGTGCGATCGGACGCAGCGTTCAAGCATGGGACCTCTACGAGACGGACCAAGTGGTCAGAAGCTCTACTAGGCGGCTCAAAAGGACAAACAAGAAAGGTGAAGAGAAGATACAGGGTGGATCAAGGAGCTTTTAGCTCCAGTGTTTACTGCGATGGCGTGAAGAATTCCCACGCAATCCACCACTTTC